TCTTGTGGTAGTCAGTGAAGAGATGTCGTCATCCTTCGGATGCGATTAATCTGTTTCAGATGTCTGTGTTGAAATGAGATGAATTACATCATAGAAGCACTTGTTTCCCTTCATCATCTATCAAGGATTTCCAGGGAGACTCACTTAGATGTAGATGGCTGCTGTCATGCAACCCTTCCTTTCTCCTCTCAATGTAAAGTGCTTGATACGTTCCAGTAAACACTTTGTTACAAATCTGGTCATATTATTATCTGTGTACTTAACTGTGCAATGCGATAAATCATTACTATAAATTTGCAGCAAAGAAGACTTTGTGTTAAAAGAAATATTCTGCAAAGATAGTTTGGCAAAGTAAAAGGAGTCCTGTGGGCCATGGAATAATACTGTTCACTGATTTTTTTCTGAGAGTTGTATTTAAACTTGCCTCAAATCAGAAGATGCATAAATGACCTTTGATCAGTTTTACTTCTCCGTGTCTATAGACCTGTTCTCTGACATTATGCCTCACGAGTGAAGGAAAGCCCTGTCTTGGTTTTGTCCTATTCCAAGTAGCATGATCCCAAACAGTTCCTGACCACGATTCAGGGGTTGGCCCAGGCCAGGGACAACTACCCACCACAGGCAGTTTAGATTCATCCTCCATTTTCTGGAGGCTGGGGTAATTTAATAGTATTGACAGGCCTAGACATGTCAGTTGGCCTCAAGGCCAAAGAACAGGCTCTTCTGCCATTTAATTTGTTTGTATTGATGTCACCTAAGAGTTTGTTGACTTAGGGAGAAAGGTGTGCTTTCAAGCAGATCTGAAGCCACACCTAGTTGTGTAGGTTGACACCATCCCTTGAAGTCTACCCAGAAGTCAAAGGATTCATAGGCATTAAGGTAGCAACTCTTACATGTTTCTTCTTGAGACTGTTTCTGAAATCACAATTTCACTTCTGCTCAAACTTCCAGACTTACGATTCCATGGCTGGAAATCATGGCTTTGTTTACTTCCCTAACTGTATACTGCTAAGAAGCCCAATGCTTTTGGTCTCAGACTCAGAAGGGAAACAGTGGCACTGCTGGGATCCTGGTATAATGAGGCTCTGCATCATGGCAGCAAGGCCCACGTTGGAAGACACGCATTGTGGAATCCAATCAACATTTATTACCAAGTGAAGATTTACAGTACCACCAATCATGCCTTCCATTAAAAGTTCTACTAACGTAATTTTAATATCAACCCCCCCACTGGAAGAGGAAATATAATCCTCAATGTATATTCCAAGTTCTTACCCAAGACACGTGCCAAACAGCTTCGTACAGTTGTCTAAAATCAGTTTCAACCACCCAACTCCCATCAGTATTTCAGTCTTGTTCTGCTGTGACAGTGAATGTGCAACTGTAAGGAAGGATGCTTCAAAATAGCTGGCAAATTTTGATTATATGACTGGAGCTGCTGCAAGATAGGTCCTTTCCACTAAACAAGCAAGAGAAGGGCCAGCCTAACTAATGAAAAGGTAGTGTTCCTATATATTAGAAAATACTGGCCTTTTTCTCAAGGCAAAATCAATATGCCAAAAATGGACATCAAGGAAACATATCACCAGATGATGCTAGCTTAGATCAGCATATATGGGCTAGTTGATGCATACTGCAAAGCTGGATTTCTCTCTTCAAATCTGTCCTTTGAGAAAAAAGATAAGGTTCTAATATATAAATTTGTATGTTCACAGATGGATATTAACTAAAATAACTCATAATATGACTCAGGTGAGTACTGAGAGCTGCAGTAGCATGAGCTTGAAATGGATGAAGACACTGAGATGAGCCACAGAGTATAGTAAGTTCTAATATATGAGTAGTAAGTTCTAGTCTATGCCCAACCAAGGATAGTGAAAAGCTGGTTGGGGAGCATGGGATCTAGTGATTCTCGTTGGCAATTGATGGTCCTAAAATATTTTAGATGGATCAAGATTGGCATCTGAAAGGTAAGAGTAAATTAATGGTTAAGTCAAAATTATTTCTCATTAATTCCACATAATGAACTTATTTTGCTAAAGCTTCTTATTTTAATGCAATGTGTTTAAATACATTACTTATATGTCTCTGAGACTATTTCTCTGCCTCCTTTTACAGACAATTTTTTTTTCTGCCAGTCATTTTAGCTAATCTTGTTTGCTAATGCATTACACAAAACAGCACAAGTTTTGCTTCTGTTCACTGAATGGAAAGCTGTGCCTATTGCAAAGTTCAATTAACTTAAAAGTCACTGGTGGAATATACAAAATTACATTTAACTCAAAAGATCGAGATAGTTTTCTCCCTTCTCTTTGCTAAACTATATCTCAGCATGATGAAAACGAAGAGCACACTGCTATCAAAAGCTGATTGATTGAGGGAGTATATTGCCTTTTCTAACAGAAAAATATCAGAAGTGACTTTTGGCCACCAGATAGCAGTGCTTCACTTTGTACAGTTCTCAACTCACAGTGTTCCTTGCCTTGTAAAAAAATCCATATATTTGATTCCGATCTCTTTGCTCAGATACATCTTTTGCAGACTTCATTATAGACTTCAGCTGGAAAAAAAAAAAAAAAGGTAGAGATTTTGTAATTAGGAGTGCAGGTGATTTATGTGTTCAGGAGGAATCAAGAACACTGCAGATTTCCAGAGCAGGGGAATTTGGTTGTATAAATCTAACAGAGCGTAGGCATTATAATTATTATTTTCAATGACAAAAGTTTCAAAGAAAATCTTAAGCTTAAAATGTTTTTAGTGCTTCTCCCTTGCTGCCAGTACATTTCCCTATCTGCATTAGTATTTCAGGAATATTTCAGAAGGGCATGTTTTTCGCCTCAGAACATAAACTTAACGTAGTTTTATTATATCAGTAATTTATAATTTCTGCCAAATGCGTTCAAACCTCTGGATTATTCTTTATTTTTAAATAAAGGAACAGATTTTACATTATTTTTAGCAAAAAGAAAGATATCCTCATTTTCACTGAAACTTGTTAAAATGCCAAAAGTGCAATATACTATATAATAATAATAATAATAACTATCATTTGTATAATGTTGTGTTGGTTCATGTCACCTTACAAGAACTGTGCATCATCCTAATTTGTTACAGATTCAGTCCCAGATCACAGGCAAGATGCACAGCTAAAGAGAATGGGAAAGGCCATCTGACAGTTATTCCCTCATTCTTATCTGTCCTGGTGTTGACATCAAAGTGTCTCAGCTGCCACTTTAACTTGCAACAGTCAGTTATGATCCCTATGAGATCATGGAACAGCTTTATCACTTTATTTTCTCCCAAACAAGGCAGGAGAGATAATAATAGAAACCATCCCTGTCAGCTTTACACTAGAATATTCTTTTCTTTGGCTATTTTAGAGCCCCAACTGGATTCCCTTTGTTTTACATCTCCTCCAGGGAATCTGTTGTCAGGATGGTGTGAGCCCTCACTTTACTGCTGTGATTCACGTGACTTTCCTCGCAAGGAATTTCACCCTTGTGTAGTGTTAAGCTTGTCTATTGAACGAAAGGGTGACTTTCTCTCCTGTTTGTGATTCATTTAACTGTGACAACTAAAGCAAAGTGTTTGCAAGGAAAAGTAGCGATAAGAATGTTTTCAGCTTTGTCACCCCTCTCTTGTTCTAGGTCCATTACAGTTTCCTTTTTTCTCTCCTTGTGTCTATGATCAGGACAACTCATCTTCTGATTCCCAACTTTCAGCATATAACTAATGAATATTCAGAGGCATAAGACCCTCAATTTGATTACTGTTACCATAGTTACACTATAGATAGACTGTGCCTCTAATATTTAGGGACTGGACTCTGATTATGATCAGGGATTTATTAAAAAAAGAGGGAAATGTTACTTTAAAAGTACTTCACACAGCGTAGCTCTCAGAAGCTCTTTCATCTTGGTATAGAATAAGGATTGATATCTTGAGTGGTACAGCTTACAAATTTCCTTTATTCCTTGGGAAGAAAAAAATATCTATAGCTTTGTCAGGCATTCTGAAACAATTAATGTGAGACTCGGTCTAGACACGTTTCCTGTGCTTTGGGACTCAGTTCTAGCAGTGCCCTTGGAAAACCTTCAAAAGCAGTCCTGCCCTTAAAGATGGCAAATGAGTTATGTAGTGCTGCACTTGGATATCCCCTCACACTTTGTTCTGAGATGAATAAAAACTTATCCAATTTTGAAATCAGTTGATTAGTCTGAGCCAACAGGACATCTTCCTCATCTTTTAAATAGAAATAACTGCTTTGGGACAACAGAGTCAGCACATTGGTGTCTCTTTTTTGTAGTTTATAATGTGGACAAGATTGTTTTTGTTCATTTGTCTGTACACTGAGACACTTGATGGATTTGGTGAGGCACTGGCATAATATATCTTCAGTCAGTTAAGGGAGGAGATACAATATAACTATAGCATTTACTGTGCCAGAAGCTAGAACCTCACCTACGCAGAGGCTACAGCTGGAAGAATCTTCAGTTCCACTTGTTACACAGGTTTCTTTAAGGAATAATGGTAGTAACATATTCAGATCCAAAGAGTGCTTGAAATTGCAACCAGTGATCTGAGAACTAGTGGTGAGGCAGCTCTGAACAAGATGGGATCTTAAGTCCTCAACCTTTCACCCACTGCTCCCGTCACTGGAAATACTTAAGCCTCTTTTACCTTTCCTTCTCTCACTCATGGTTGGAATTATTTTTTTTTAATAGAAAAAGCCTGATGTTTTTATACACATAAGCTTTTCTCGGCAGTAACTCAGCTCAACCTCTGCAGTCTTGTGCCAATCCCTCCATACCAGAACACGGCGCCGTCAGCAGAGAGGAACCACCGCCTCTAAGACCCAAACGAGGGGCGGGGGGACAGAGCTCCCGGGTTTGCCAGAGCAGCCCGGGGAGGGGGAGCGGAGCCCGCAGCGGAATAGGACAAGGGCCAACGGGGAGGCAGCGACTTGTGGGGCGGCGGACACGAAGGGCGGGGGCAGAGGTATGGGGCGGGGGCGGGGGAAGGCGGTGGCGGGGCGTCACGGAGCCCGCTCCGCTATAAAAGAGCCGGGCGCGGAAGAGCGGGTTCCTTGGCGCTCGCAGCCAAGCGGCAGAGGAGCAGCATCATCACTATCGCGGCGGGCAGCATCAGACGGGCATGGGACGGCGCTGGCGGCGCGGCTCGGCTGGGGCTCCTGCTCCTGGCCCTCCTCCTTCCCACGCAGGTGAGCCCCGGAGCGGCTCGACGATTCCCCCCGCCGGCCCCCGTGCGAAACACGGGAGCGCGCCACGCCGAGACCTCCCTCCGCTTCCGCCGCGGGAGCGGCGGAGAGCCGGGTTTCTCGGAGAGAAACTCCCGTCCGTGTGCGCCATCCCGGAGCCCGCCGTGGTGGCGGGCGGCTCCTCCGCCCCGGGCAGCGGCGCCTGGGAGAAGCAGCCTGGGCAGCCCGGCGGGGATGGGGCGGGGGTAGGATGGGCGCGGACGGGCGGCGGGGCGAGCTCGGCGCCCTGGGATGGCGGGGGCGGTGTCGTGACTTAGCCCGGTCAAATTAAAAAAGATGAAGTGGCAGTTCGCCGCCTTTTTTTCCCATGGGATCCTCGAAGGAAAGCCGCGGAACTGAGGTGTACGCGGCGGCGGAGCGTTCATTCCCCCGCTGATGAGAGGGAGAAAAATCTCTCCAAATCCGAGAGAGCTCCGGGAAGGCACGAGTGTTACAGCTGGAGGGCAGCGGGTCCCTCGTCCGAACCGCCCCAACGGAGCGTGTTGGGCTTTAGGTCCGGTCCTGGGGCTCGGTTCACGGCAGGAGTGGGAGGTTTGGAGGCTCGATGCGAAGTCACCAGCATCTGGCTGCTGCGCTGGCTGAGCCTTGCCCTTGGCGCAAACGTAATGGATGCAGAAGCGATCCGCTTCTCCCTAAGGGACCAAGCCGAGCGGGGCTCCCAGATTCCGGGTCGGCGTGTTGTTCCTAGAGACCACCTCTTCAAAAAGGTCAATAACACAGTATCAGAAATACAACAAAGGGATTGCCGGAAGGTGTTTTAATTCTCCTTCTCCCTTGGTTTGCAAGGAAAGGCATTATCCTTTTTCGGTTGGCTCAGTGGAGTTTTGCCTTTGACAGTGATGAGAGTAGGATAAGACCCCTTGGGTTACTGGTATTTATCACACTCACGTTAAGAAAATCTCCAGGGTCCCATCTACTGTAATGTTGTGGAACTTGGCTATAAGCCCTTTCTCTTCCACACACAAAAACAAATCCAGAAAAAAAAGGTTTTCTGTTTAAAACTAAGAAAACTTTTAAAATATATAACCAAGTGTGGAACGGTTGTGGAATCTTCCAGGAAAATTCCAGGGTGGGCTGGGACTTGCCTTTTAGGTTATTAAGTCTGCAGTTCATTATTGATCACTTTCGGACTGGTTTCAACAGAAACTTCCACACAGCGATTTTTATCCTGCAGTTCTAAATTGCTTCCAGCATGGTGCCGGTTGCCAAAACCCGTAACTACTAGAAGCTTTACACCATCCTTACATTGTCTATGGTATGCTTTTTTTTAGTAGAATGTACTGAAAGAAAATTCTTGTGCAATTTTCTAATAAATTTAACATTAATTTCATGGCTTCAGTATTGAGGGACAAATTTATTTTTTTTTTTTGCTAAAGAAAATCTATTTTCTCAGCAGCACTAGAAATACCTGAAAATTAGGACTCCTTTGTGGAGAGTATTATTTATTAAGTGAACTTTTTAAAAAAAAAAAAAAAGAGAGAAAGTTGTTTTTACTTTAATTAACTCTAAGGGCTTACCAGAATGCTCTGGTATAACGCAAGTTTGTGCCACAGAACCGAAGCCAAGCTTTCTGTACTGTGCTTATTTTTGGGGAGCAGATATGTGATTCCTGCTCTTGTTTTTCATCTTGTGTGTCATGTGATTTTTTCACTGGAATAAAGGAACACTTTATCTTGTCTTTGAAAGTCTTCTTGTGCATGTATAGGAAATAGCTTGATATTGAAGTTACACAGAGTGTAGGTTTTCGTTCTGTTCCTGTCATGCAGAGTTATGAGGGAAAATCAGTATTTTTTTTAATTTTGCTTTCTGTCAGCATTTTTAAAAATTTGCTAGTATTCTGTGGTCTTTCTGCTGCACTTTTTTTTTGTACGTTCTAGCATGCTGATAGGTTCTGATTTAATCAGTATGGTTTCATTGTTCTAACTTCAGCAGTTCAGTCTACCGCAGCAATGTAAGAGAGACTGAAATATTAAATCTACTCACATAAGCCCCACCTTCCTTGAAAGGAATCCACAAACCAGTCCCAGAAACAGTATTAGTAGACTCTTGACCATTGTTTGCTCATTTCTGTGGCTTAGCCTGCAAAGGCAGACTGCAATTCACACAGTTGGTTGAAGGTCTTTCTTATCCTAAGATTAGTCTTTGTATATCTGCATAGCTCTACGTTTGCTTTGTTTATTTGTTTGTGTCTGTGTGAGGTTTTTTAAAACCTACTTATCTTCTATTTTAGAGCAGGGTTTTGATAAAGTGATAGTTGTATAAAAATATTTAGAAAAATATTAGATTTATTTCTTTAACAAATCCCACGTGTACAATTCAAATTGTCTTTGTCCTTAACTGCACAATGAGAGACACGAGCATTTGTATGTATTGTATCTGAGTATTGTGACTGAGTGTTGCTACACATTATTACTAGTAATTTGTCTTTTGATTTAAAAAAAAAAAAGGCAATAAAAACCTTTTTGTTTCCCCCCCCCTCCACATTCTAGATCTACTGTGATCCTGCTGGAACAAGTCCATCACCTTCAAACTATTCTTCAGCAAGTTCCACTTCTCTGTCAACTGTGACAAATTCAGTGAACAATACCACCACTCACGGACATGGAAATTCTCTTCACTCAACCACAAGTCTTTTTTTCATTCTCTCTGTTTCTCTTCTGTATTTTTGCTGTTAAGAGACTCTGGCATGGAAATGGCTACCACTCCCCACCCTGTTTCCTGAACCATCTGAGATGGCTAGATCTCCAACCCAGCATGAGAATAAATCAGTCCAAACTCCACATCAAAACAGCTTGGTTCCACTCCATACTCAAATTAGTACCAGTCTGACCTAGAGAAGCACTCAGTATTCTGACTTTCCAAAGCTGACCAATGTGAAAAGACCAGCTTCAACAAGGAGGTAAAATGATGAGCTCTTTCACCAAATGAGTTGGAATTCTGAAAAACAAGATGGAAGCAAAAAGACAGTATCAACAACTCCTGACTTAAACCCTGGAAAACAAAGAAAAGCTCAAATGATTCTGTTTCTTGCACAGCCTACACAGTTATAACTCATGGGTAGTATGATATATGAAAAAGGAACAATATCAGTGGAAAGGCTTTACCTGAGATTTAATTTCTCTAAATTTCATACAAGGCTGAAATGGAATACCAAATTTTTGTAAGAATCTCTTGTTTAACTTCAGTCCTAACCAAATTCTTAGCCAGGCAGGGCTAGTTTTGAAATAGCTAAAACCCCACCAGTTTTCATAAGAGTGGAATTACTTATGGTGGGAATTTGAATTTGACATTTTCTTTAAATTGTTTGTATATTAAACCATATGTGCCAGAGAAAGGAGGTGTGGAAACATTGAAAGAAGCACCAGGAGCTTTTTGTAAATGAAGTTCAGAAAAGAACAAACAAACAAAAAAAAGTCAAGGGAAAAATATCTCCTCTTTTCCCTATTTCTCCTCTCAAGTTCTACAATTTGTATAATTAATTTTTGCTCCTGGAACTTTCCTTAATTATGAAGGATTTATGGAATCTTTTCAGTAATGTTCTAGTGCTGCTTTTTTTTGTTGTTTTTGGGCACAAGGTAAAAAACTTACTGCTTTTTTTTTAAGAGTTTCAATTGTGATAGTCTACTTTAAACATGGGCTAATATTTGCGGTGGGGAGAAGGAATGGGGAGAGGAGAGCAAACCGCCAAAACAGAAAAGAAATTAAATGATTAGGTGTTTAGAATATGAAGACTGGAGTCTTAATTTAATCACTGAATTTAAAAGTTATCTTTGTAAATACTACTTTTTTTTTTAAATTTTCTGAATCAAAACTGCTATACTTGCACAGATTGTTTCTGTATCATCCAACACTTTAGAGAATAGTATCTGGTACTTGATCAAAACAAGCTTTGTTGAGGAGGTTCAACTACCTTGATGATGATACCTTGTCAGAAAGAAATTAGTTATGTTGATATGATCACATGTGAGTGTACACGATCATACCACTGTCTGTAGATATTTATCTCAGTATAAGATCATGTTAAACATGAGTGGCTCTCTAATTTTTTTTTTTTAATACACATCTGTCTTTCAGTTACATTACCATCAATTCACAGTACCATATATTAATAGCAAACTAACAAATTCATGTCAATGAGTGTACATTTCCTTATGCTTATCATTTGTATTCAGTAAAATGTTAATGACTGTATTTTTGTGTTTGTATAATTATGCTTTGATTTATTAGCTACTGATTTTCATTGAAAAAATCTGTAAATAAAACAGTGGACAGGCAATGCATTCTAGATGTGCTTCCAGACACTTCTACAAAAACTTGTAACTTGCCTGCGTTAAGTGAATGAACTGTTAAGCAAGGTGGTGTATGTGATTAAAAACCTCAAGGTCTAGAAATGCTGAAGTGTAACTAGTTTTATTTCTCTGGAAGGTTTAGTGGCGCTGGGAGTCTGGATTCCACTCTGAAACCAGTGACTGAGATTTGATTAATGTTTCTAGTAACTGCAATAAGTTTTCCATACTTATTACAACCTCTTCCCTTTCTAAGTATTATTATTGTTGAGGAATCCATCTGGTGCAGGTAGCTCTGCTTTCATGTTAGACAAACAGTGCTTAAACAGTTTTCCTTTTGTGGCAATGAGTAATTTCCCTCACAACGGCTAAAGCTGTTTTTCAGCTTCTGGTTATCACGTATGTGGATTTACTGCTTGAGGTTTCTGACTCCCACAAACACACTAACATACTAAGAATATCCTAATAATACAAGCTGCACCATTCTTGATAAAGGACAGAGGCTGGAAGAGGTAGGAGTTTATGCAAAACTTTGCTGAAAAGCAAAAATTAACCAGATGAGAGTTCAATAACAGATTGTCACAAACTGTAACTTTCAAATCTGTGTCTTTGTTGTTTTTCAGGTATGCTCCTTTCTAATAACCATTAGGATATTTGATATTCTGAGTGATTATCTTCACTCCCTAAATGCGGAGAAACACATTTAAAAGCCCCTAAACACTTAGGCATGCTGCACATGAGTCTGTGTTTGTCAGTGGGAAAGAGGCCCCTGGAGAGGCCTCCGGAGGGAATGTGGCTCGGCAGGCCTTTGCTTATGTTCCTTTACTTTTCCAGTAGGCTGAACAAAGCCAAGGAGCAGGATAAGTTTATCAAAGCTCACTGTTTGACTAAATCTTGGAATGTGCGGGGAGTATCAAAGCATATTGTTCCCTGGTTTAGCTTTTCTCCAAATGCTCCAGGAGAAAGCAATGAAGATCAATCAACCAACCTGGCTCTGTACCTTTTTTAAAAAAACATAACATTGAAAATAACCTCTCTTTAAACACAGGCAGAGAATGAGAAAGGCTGCAACAATTATCCTTAATTCAAATGAATTGAGGTGCTTGGCCTATTTGGTAGCACGCTTTTTTTTTTTTTTTTTTTTAAATAGAACCAGATTGCTCTTTAATAGCATCTAAGTGTATTTAAAGTCTCTCAAGTTTTTGAGTTTTCACCAGACCAGATGAGTGATTTAGAAAAATGATCTGGTAACCTTTTTTCCGTTCCATTCCATCACCGGAGAATAGAATCAGTGATGAAGAAATCCATTCAGGGAAAGAGGATGTGATGGATGTAACAAAATGGGGAAGGAGGGAAGGCAGGAGAATGGAGCCCACACATAGCACTACTATTTAATTTTTTTTAAATTACACCTATAATAACTAGAACCAGCTCTCACCTATGCCTCTCACTTTCACAAATCTGTCCAGCTGAAGTGTGTCTGGATAATGTATATTGCAATGACTCTGAAACAGTTCTGCTTCTGTTCGATGCATGGCACTGCTTTTGATGTAAACATATGCTAGCCCCCTATGTCCTGAATAAAGTGTAGTGTTAACATTTGAATGAAATAACCTCAAATGAGAACTTACAGTTTGTTTGCAGTTTACTGTTCCTTCCTTCACAACATCATACTCTGAATACCCTGTAAATTTTTTCAAACTTCAGTTTTCAGTTAGTTTAGAAATGCAGTGTCTTTGAATGAACAACCTTCATTCAACAAAAATCTCCAAAAGGTGAAGTATTTTGGGCCAGATCCAATACCCATAAGCTTCTATTAGCGGCTTCCTTGTTTTCAGCAAGATGCAGCCATGTCCCCCAAACCTTTCTCCACATGTGAAAGCAGTGTGCATGGTGATGAAAAGGGATAGTCCCCCTTTCTCTATGTGGAGATGGGACATTATTAACATCTCAATAAATGACTTTCCAAATGAACTCAGGGTTAGTTTGACAAGCCATTGCCAATTCTTAACCTAATCCATCAAACACTTAGGATTTGCCTATAAAATGCAAATATTCTCAAGCTAGCTGGAGACAGTAGCATACTCTCTGATGTTATTAATACAATGTTTAATATGGAATTATTTCTCCTGAGAGTAATTCTTACACAGCCTGTTGGCCTGTGGAAGGGCTCATGAGAACAAACATTTGCAGGGCCGGGCTCTTTGTCAAGGTCTTTCCAAGTCAGCATTTCCCTGCACTCAGGTTACACCTGGCTCAGCAGGGAGCTCACAATGACACCTTGTATTTGAAAGTGAAGATGTATATAAATGTGCATATTTTAGAGGCAATTCAGAGAGATTTGCATTTCGTGTGCATTCAGGCTTATAGGGATTTGATTTCCGATACATGACCGAAATGATTTAGGTAGCAGACTTTATCATCCGGCATCTTTATTGTAATGGATACAATTGAGAATGTTTCTTGGTTTTGCATTAAAGATAGCTTTGAAACAGGAGCTGTCAGCTCTGCCTTGTAGCAGCACAAAGCTCTTCATTCTAGAACACACACTACATTTGATGCACTCTAAAGGTCTACTGTGTCCCAACAGATGAAGGGGCTGGTTATTTTAAATCCACCAGTTTATCTACAGCAGTTTGAAGAGCAGTACTAGGCTTTCTGCCATACGTGCTTTGAGATGTAGTGTTTTCATCATTATGCAGTAGCCTCAGGAAAGATACTCGAGCCTTACTTCGGTTATCAGCCTTCGGTTTTCCAAGTGAAACCCTCAGCATCCTGCTCATGAATGCATAATTGCTCTGGTTTAGACTTCATCAAAATGTCCAGAATGAATGACCTGGAGCTGAAGAAAAAGACCTGATCAATTCTATACCACCCAATCAAAATCCTAAACTAAAAAAATCTCATCTGCGAAGGGTCATTCAATTTTCTCTTGAATCCAGTAATACTCCCTGCAATGTATGTGCTACAAGTACATGAATAAAACATTTTCAGGCTTTTCAGAAGTGAACTGAGACTCTTTCTTTTATGCTTTCAGCTTAGCAGGAGCTATGCTTTAACAACTGATGGGTGTACAATATAAAAATTGAGCACACAGCAGAATTAAATCGTGGTAGCTTGGGTTTGCTGCATAAACTGAATGATCGCATTCCACCAAAATCTCTCTTGAATGACCTAGTGTGAAAAGTATTCTTTATGTGGCACAAATTATTAAAGGAAGCAATGCCTCTGTAAAGCAATTGTTCTGTTTCACTCTTTTCAACAACTCTGACTGAAAACACAGCATGGACTTTTTTTTCGGATTGCTTAGTGTGCATAATCTGGATTTAAAATCTGTGTTGAAATATGTAAACTTCACATGACAAAACTGTATATTTTTTCTACTGAATTGCATAAAATGTAGGTGGTTTTTGAGGGGTAAGACTGAACTTTGCATTCAGAGGAATATATACACCAGAGAACAGTAACAAATGCATATTGTGTGATTGTTTGGACTAGTAGGATTCAAAACTGACTGACTTCATACAGCTGATTATAGCAATTAGAGCCATAATAGCAAGGATTAAAAAAACCCCAATTTTAAAATGGGTAGAAACCATGTTGTGAGAATCCTGATTGTTTTAGGAGTCAGGGAGAATTCCCTCTGAAAGCAGATTACCTGGTAGCTGTTCAGTTACAAAGACAGTCTGAGGCATGTTAGTAGAATGAAAATGGACTTCATTGAAACATGATAAACAATATAGATTTGTTGAAGTCTTTACCTGAACAGGGCAGTTTCAGTGTTTTAATGTGTAAGTACAAGGAAGTTTTTGAACAATGAGCAAGAAAAGTCCCTGGCAGGGATGTGGGAGTAATGCAAAGAAGTCATGGCATTATTATTCTGATAATGACATTTGCTATCATATATCTACTATATACAATTTTTAAAATATATTTTCTAAAACTTGCTGTCATTTATTGTCTTTTTATGTTTCCATCAGTATCTTCAAAACCCTTTTTAAGGCTATTGTTGCTACTCTGATTTTATTATCTTTCCTGTTTCAGGAATTAGTAGTCGCCTCCATTCCAAAATTCTCAGGCTTCCATAAGGCGTGCCCTCTCACGAAGTCCCCTCAGGAAATGAGCCAACGTGAAGCATTAGCAGGATGACAGACTTGACTCTTTTCCCCTGCTAGTCTGTGTTTTTACTGAAATTAAAATATCAAAAGAACATTCAGCTATTTTCAGAACACGAACTCCACAGTAATTTAGCCCTGTTAATCTGGCACTGGTGTAAGCCCTCTGAACATGGTGGAGGAACTGGATGAAAGGTAAGGCATCCACACATACTCCTGTGACCTGACTGAGGTGTCAGCTTTGATCCCAAAATGCGTGATTCCATCTACCAGGGATTTGTGGGTTTTGCTAGGTGGCTGATAGGGGTCTGTGACTTAAATTAGTATTTCAGTTTGTTTACATTTAGCAGGTCTGTTCTTACTCAGCAATGCAGGCTGACACTGTTCAACGTCTACTTCAGTCCTTTTTTTCCCCCCTCCAATCTGATATCATGCATTCCTCAGAGCAGAGGCAGTCTTTGCTGAGTGTCTGCAAAACTACTACTAAGCTTTAGGTATTAATCAGCAGGTTTTATACTGCTTACTGTAGCAGCAGTAATTAAAGCCCAGGTCTTCAAAGGTAATTTGGTTCCTGACTTGAATTCTTATTCAGATCAGTGTCCTTGGAGGTTATAATCTGACTGCCTTCCATGTAAAATTAGTATATAATACTGAAGGCTTTTATAGATCTCACGGGATCTCTGCTTATTTTTCAGAGAAACAACATCTAAGCCCCACTCTCTTCTGTTTTTCTTACCTGCTTGTTTGCTTTATATATTATAGAACCTATGATTGCTATGGCAGAAAGAGTGTTTGTAAACACAGTTCCACCAAGGTGGTGACTTTGGTACAGCTGGGTTCAGAATTGCCTGCTCTCCACAGTCTGCCTGCACTCCTGTCCCAGGCTCTCACACACGAGGGTCAGTGCCATTTCAGAGCAGCCATACTCTTTTAGCCATACTCAGAGAGAGCTGAGGGCCTCAGCTGTACCCCAGTTTTGGGCTTGAGCCAAT